TGAGAGAGAAGGAGAAGTGTACTGAGGTACAACTAGATAATTGGTTATGGAGAAGAAAGAGAGAGGGGTAGAGAAAGGGCGTAGTCTGAGAAAGAGAAATAATACTTCATAATTAGAGAGAGAGAAATAGAAAAATGGAGAGAGAAAAGGGAAAAATTAAAGGAGAGAGGGTAGAGAGTAATACGTGGATTGAAAAAGGGGAAACTGTGACAAAAGGTTTGTGTCTGAAAACGCAGAGAAAGAATACATAAAGATCGAGTCCGTTGGTTCCGAAGACTCGCACTTGAGGTTTTTTTTTTTTTAAATCGATGCGAAGCATATATATAAAAAAAGGTAAATAGTACTTTAGTACTATTAAAGAGAAAAATACTAACAATTTAAAGTCAATGCTTTTTGTTTTTTTACTTTCTTCGTTAGGGGAGATTGTTTTTTTTTTTTTTTTTTTTGTGCTCAGAGGACATAGGCAAAGAGAGAGAGAGAAAGAGAGAGAGAGAGAGAGAGAAAATGCACACCCTGGTTAAAGATAGTAAAACAGGCAGAATGAGATATGAACTGATAAAAATAGATTGATAGATAAATAGATAGATAGATAGACAGACAGACAGACATAGAAACAGACAAATCCAGATAGATAGATAGCGAGAAAGAGAGAGAAGTAGAGAGAGGGAAAGAAAAGGTAGAAAGAGATATGTACTGAGTAAGATAACAATTTTTTTATTAATGGTTAGATAGGAGAAAAAGAGGAGAGATGTAGATGATGAAGGATTATCGATATATATATATATATATATATATATATATATATATATATATATATATATATATTACATGAATCATTCATACAAAAAAGTAGATTAGTAAAGTTAATGATATAAATGGCGAAAAACATCTTCACAAACAATTTGAAACTTGCATTAACCTACGGATCACTCGATGAATGTTATGATCCTCGTTTTTAATAACTTCAATTTGTATAAGGTCTTTTTTTTTAATCTGCTAGTACTTTCGGCTCTACATACAGCCATCCTCAGGCATGAAAATTATTTTGTTTTTAGTAGATCCAGGTAATAGCGGACACGAAAAATTAAATGCGAACCAAAATATGTTTTTTTAGAATATATATATATGGGATAACGATATATAAATTTGTATATAAATTTTTATGTATTAAGAAGAGTTTTGAAATAAAAGTTGTATAAGAAATTGAAAAAAAAATTTGACACGTTTAATCGGACTGGGTCTGTTGACGTTAATGTGACTACATCTGCACATTAAGACACAGGTAGATGTTTGAAAGAATTCTTTTTTTTCTTTTTGCAATCTAGCCAAATTCATCTATATTTTTTTCTTTCTGTCATCTTTGTTAATAAATATCCAAAATTTTTGATAACAGAAAATCAGCCTAGAATGGAAAAACGTTGTAAGAACCTAGACGTAAATTTACTGTGGATGAATTAACGATTAAAGCACTTTCTAGACATTTGCGTCTCATTTTCTCTATATATATATATATATATATATATATATATATATATATATATATATATATATATATATATATATATATATATAGGACAGAGAGAGGGAGAGGTGGGATTTTGAAAAGACAGATATATAACTAAAGAGAGAAAGGGGAAGTAAAGACAGGAATTATATTGAAATTTTGGCTGCTGAATATGGATCGATAACTACGGGAAATGTATCGCTCATTAGCCTCATTTAAGATACGGGGACGACCACTCCTTTGAATGTTTTCAATAGTATCGAATTTTTTCCATTTTCAAACAACAGCACCAACTGTACTCACAAACAAATTCAAATCTTGAGCGATTTTTCTATATCCCTTACCATCGTTGTGATTCTTTATGATCTTCTTGCGCATGTCATTCGACAATTCTTTTGTTTTCACCATTTTCTTGCAGTCGTGGCAACAGAATAGCTGCAGTGTCTCAGAGCTGTTATCTAATAGCCAGTTGAGTGTCGTGCAGTGCTGTCATTAGTCAACATATCAAATCATTTCAATATGGGTAGGAATCATGACGACACGTCTCTTCTAGCATAATATTTGCATTGGTGTTAAATACTTTTGCATATGGGTTATTTTATTTATTGTTAATAAATGTTTCTCAAAACAGTGGTTTTAAATTTTACTTCTATGTTTTGATTGACAATGTTCGTTTAAATATTTCCTATAAGTTTCGTTGAAATTATCTGTTATTTTTGAGATATGTAAGAAAAACCAATGTGTTAAATACTTTTGCTACCCACTATATATATATATATATATATATATATATATATATATATATATATATATATATATATAGAGAGAGAGAGAGAGAGGGACAGATATTCGTAGAGAGAGATGGAGGAGGGAAATGTAGAAAAAAACGAACTGGAAAAGCTATATAATTGCTGATATAATTACTGAAAGAAAGAAAGAAAGAAAGAAAGAAAGAAAGAAAGAAAGAAAGAAAAAGAAAGATAGGAAGAGACGCATACTGAGAAAGATAGACAGAGAGATCGATTAGAACTGAGTAATAGACAGCTTAATTGCCATAATCCACTTACGTATCCATCCATCTGTATTTTTCTCTCAAGTGGGCGTCAAATTGTCAAGATTTTCCATGAATACGTATTAACCAAAGAGTCATTTCTATCCTGATTGATTTGAGTTAATACTCTGGGCTTTGACAATGAAAGCCCAGTACTAAATTGGCAGCTAGGTCTCATCCATTTACAGTTGAAATTGCAAGATATAACCATAAGTTCTCTGCTAAGAATTTCTTATTTCTGATTTCTCACTTACGGGATTCTCTGCCGGATTCTTGTTGTCCAGTCAAGTTTGATCTTCAAAGATTTAAATACAGTGTCCGTCGTTATATTTAGTCTTCTTAATTCGTGTTCTTTTATTGTTTTTAATCATTAATAATGTTTTCCTTTTTCTCATATTCATTCACAGCCAGTAACCCCTTTCGTTTTAGTGACTTTATTACATTGCGTAGAGAGAAATAATTAAAATACATATCACTGTAATAATTAAAAAAAAAACATATCACTGTTTCACTGGTTTCAAATTAACCACGTCCTGAGTATGACGATATACTACATCCGGCAATGCCTCTGATTGGGAGGTTTTGGGAAACGTAGAACCACCTTTTAATTGGTGTTGTTCTCAGGTTCACCTTGAGCCGGAATGTTAGCGCCTGTTAGGTTTTCTGTTGTGGACAAATAGTTAACCAACAAACTGGGGTCAAGCACTATGAAAATATAAAAATAGATTTTTTAGTAGAAATATTAGTAATAAATTTTTGGACAAAGTAATATCAGAAATATATTTTTGTGAAAAAATATTACGAGTAATTCATTTTTGAAAAATAAAATTATTACCAGCAATACATCTTTGAAAAAATTAATTTTCAGTAATACATTTTTGAAAAAAAAAAAAAATAAATATTTCCAGGAATACATTTCTAGATAAAGAAAATTATTACCAGCAATACATTTGACTATCGACAAAAAACTCTCTTTCAAAAAATACCTTATTGAAACCTGATCTACACGCTGGTTTCTTACAAAGAATACATACTTTATTCATACGAATCTTTCCTAAAAAATCTTGTCGGCATTAAATAACACATTGAGGTTGATATGCCATAAAACAAAAAAAAAACAAACCAATCTAAACCAAAGAATACATACTCTATTCATACGAATCTACCCTAAAAATGTTGTCGGCATTAAAGAATCCATTGATGTTGATATGCCGTAAAACAAAATAAACCAAACCAATCTAAACCAAAGAATACATACTTTATTCATACGAATCTTTCCTAAAAAATCTTGTCGGCATTAAAAAACACATTGAGGTTGATATGCCGTAAAACAAAATAAACCAGACCAATCTAAACCAAAGAATACATTCATACTTTTCCTATTTGTCGGCATTAAATAACACATTGAGGTTGATATGCCGTAAAAAAAATAAACCAGACCAATCTAAACCAAAGAATACATACTTTATTCATACGAATCTTTCCTAAAAAATCTTGTCGGCATTAAAAAACACATTGAGGTTGATATGCCGTAAAACAAAATAAACCAGACCAATCTAAACCAAAGAATACATACTTTATTCATACGAATCTTTCCTAAAAAATCTTGTCGGCATTAAATAACACATTGAGGTTGATATGCAGTAAAACAAAATAAACCAAACCAATCTAAACCAAAGAATACATATTCTATTCATACGAATCTATCCTAAAAATATTGTCGGCATTAAATAACCCATTGAGGTTGATATGCTGTAAAACAAAATAAACCAAACCAATCTAAACCAAAGAATACATATTCTATTCATACGAATCTATCCTAAAATCCTGTCGGTATTAAATAACACATTGAGGTTGATATGCCGTAAAACAAAATAAACCAAACAAATCTAAACCAAAGAATACATATTCTATTTATACGAATCTATCCTAAAGATGTTGTCGGCATTAAATAACCCATTGAGGTTGATATGCTGTAAAACAAAATAAACCAAATCAATCTAAACCAAAGAATACATACTCTATTCATACGAATCTATCCTAAAATCCTGTCGGCATTAAATAACCCATTGGGTTTGTTACGTCGGAAAACAAAATAAACCAAATCTGAACACTTGCCTTCGGAATTACGATAGAATAGAGAGACTAGCGTGGTTGTATTTGTGGGAAAGAGATGGAAGAGTGGAGGATGTCATGAACAACATGGCTGCGGAAACAATTTTGAGTTATGTCATCGGTGAAAATCGCATACAGAGCAAATCTAAACCCTGGTCAACTGATTTCTTACAAAGATAATATACATTCTATTCAGACAAATCTATCTTTAAAATCTTGTCGGCATTAAATAACCTATTGTGGCTGATAGCCGTAAAACAAAATAAACGAAACCAAATTAATTGTTCATTTCCAACGTTGCTGACAAATTCCGTACTGTTCGTTCATAATATCAGAATAAATTATCTTCATTTAACAATTTGTACAAAACTTGCATTTTTTTAAGGTTGAGAATTACCGATTTAGTTGACGGCTGCTATTTCTAACGTCTTCCTGGCATTTCTTATCCATTTTTTATTAATGTGACAATACAATGCGGCGTATTTCCAATGATACAATGGGATGTTACGGAAATATCACAGGAACTTTCTTTTGTTAGCTGAAGGAAGTCGTCGCATAAAAGAATCATTTTGAATCAGTTGTTTGGTTAGCGTGTAGAAATTCCTAGTAGAGAATCCGCATTTAACCCCCACATACTGATACTGACCTCCACGAAAGTGACGCGCCGCGCTTTCTTGGGCTAACGTTCTCAGCTGACATGAAGCACTATATTGAATCCATTGCTAGGTCAGCTGCTAAGAACACTGGTCAGTGTCGTTCTAGATGATTTTTCTCTCTACTTTGCATATTTATAAGTCTACCATTCTTCCATGACTAGAATATTGCTGCCACATATGGTCCAGTGCTCCTACTATTTATCTAGAGCTCCTTGATAAAATCCAAAGAAGAATCAGTAAGTCTTAGCAAGGACAAATCATCGAGCCTCGTGGGCTGGCGTTACAGAATTGCAACGAAATCTTGGGCGTGGACGCAATCGGCGATACCAACGCAAAATCTGGTCTGACAACGTTAAAGAGTGGACGGACATGACAATGCTGGAACTCCTGAATGCCACCGCCAACAGATCATCCTCGGGGGGGGGTTGTTGGTTTCTGTTATCCTTAGGTCTCCCCAGCGATTGAAGCGGTCAAAGGACTGATGATGATAGTGTTAGTTAATAAGCGAAGTGTTTGGTCAACCCGATAGAAAAATAGCGTCAATTTTACATTTTATTTCATAATTACAACTGACTTTGTATGCAATGAATATATTAGGATGAGTCCAAAATATTTTTCCTTTTTCTTTATCAGCTTCATTTACCGATTATTCAATTATATATTCACCATTGTTGTAATTAATTGTTCCCACGTATCCAGAGCCTTTGACACCTTTTAAACAAAATTCCGCAGAATTTAACGTGAAAAAGGTTTGGTTTGGTTTGTTCTATAGCATATCAACAGCAATGGCTTATTTATTTTATTGCTGGTAATATATTTTTCTTCAAAAATGTACTGCTGGTAATTCATTTTTTCTAGAAAGGTATTGCTGTTTTTTTTTTCAAGAATTTATTGCTGGTAATATTTTTTTTTACAAAAATGTATTGCTGGTAATATTTTTATTTTTCAAAAATGAACAAATCAATCAATTAATGAACCCTTTTCAGAAATTTGCAGCAATCAAGAAAGGTAATAATTGGTTGATGCAAGATTAGTACAGACCAATCGAGTTTCAATTTCTATATCTGTCTATTTTCTGAGATGAGATATTATGTACACTTTTTACATTATTCGGACTATGGTTCTCATCTTTGTCGCCATAGCTGGTAAAGGCGGTGGAGAACTTGGAGAGGGGAATTAACAGGAGATAACTGATAACTGACATCCATTAGACATAGCACGTGGAACTAGAACAGTCTACTCCAGTGAGCGAAATAAAGGGTTCATTTCGAAGTTCCAATCACCTGAAGAATGCCTGGGCGTATAACGACCGAAACGTTGTAATAAATATGGCGTCAAATATGAGAACAATTGTTCGAATATGTAAATAGTATTCAATTTTTTTATTGTGATGTTCTTGATGTATCCTATGTCTTGCGTTGTCATAAAGGAGAAAAATTTTCATTTAATTCGCTGTGTACGCTGGTGATTCTAAGATAGTTTAGTGTACTTCGAAGTTATTCTTCCCTTCCACCTGTGCTCATCAGCTAAAATTATACGTTCGTTATTACAACTGTTTTCCCCAAAACCGAAATTACTTAAGACTCAAGCTAATATTTGTATGAATTTGGTTTCATGCATGTACATGTGTGTTATGGTCCAGGTTAGTGCCATGGAAGAACAACTCGAACACACGAGTAGAAATAACGAAAGTATATTACACGAAATAATAGTATGACTGTCAATCTGGTTTGGAGTGAATTACTATCGGCTCGACTCTATTCGGTATCTAGCCCCCCCACCCCGAGAGTTGCATGTGGCACAAGGCCGAGTTTAACGTTGGTTTCCCGAGACCGTAGGCTCGGCCAAAAAAATGCCCGTAGAACCCGTATAAACGGGATCGGGTTGGTCAACCTCTCGAACGAGACTCTGCCCTTCATCGGGGCCTCTGCCCTTCAGCGGAGCGTCGTCTCGATTCGGTATCCTTTAACTGGGTTTCCCGAGGTAGGCTCAGCCAAAAAATGCCCGTAGAAACCGTATAAACGAACGAGATTCCGCCCTTCGGCGGAACCTCGTCCGAGAAGCCTGCTCAGAGGCAGAAAGTTCGACCGTCAAGATTCGGTATTCGGTATCTAGCCACCCCCCACTAGGGGTTGCATGCGACACAAGGTCATTTTTATCCCCGTAGGCACAGC